ACAAGGCTTTAAGTTTATCCCATATGCTCTTAGCTGTAGTCTCCGTAGCTACCTCCCGTAAAACCTCGTCAGAGAGATTTAGAATGATGCTTGATCGGGCCTTCTTATCCATACCCGCAAGCTCTTCTTTTGACATATCATCTGGAATGCTCTCGGCTCCCTGTAGTACCAAATCAACTCCGTCTTGAACCAGAATGACCTCTATCTTGAGTTGCCATAAGCCGAAGTTGACATTTCTGTCGAATTTCTCGACAACAATCTTTGTTATTGTCATCGTTGCCAAAAGATCCCAAAACCAGGCTCTGATACCAGTTTGTTAGAGCTAGCCCCAGGATATTTACCACAAGGTAATTTTGGCAACACAACAAAGACAATAAAACGGAAAAGATAAAAGCGACAAGAACAAACAAAACACCAGAACACCAGATATACGTGGTTCGGTCAATTGACTTTGACCTACATTCACGGAAGAAAGAGGAGCAAATTACTACTATAAAAGAGGGACACTTACAAATGCCTTAGGAAGATGTTCCTAGGCCATAAAACACCTTCAGCTTACTAAACAAGAAAAAAACCAAACCGTAAGCTGGTTTTCTTGTGGTGCCTCTTGTGCTGCCTGTGGTACATCTGACTTCAAAGCCCAGGCCCTTATTTATAGTTCCAAGACGAGACAACAAGTCTGATTTTCCCGATGTGAGACTATAGGACTTGCTAAACTAACATATAAGAGTGCATTTGCTGTGTGATTAGCAATAATATTTATATTTTATATGACTAACTTCTTTAAATGGTCACTAAACCATCTATATTTCAGTGAACTCCTCCACAGCGAAATAGTCATCTTCCTTCAGAATATATATGAAAGCACTAGGTTGAAGACTTGAGCAATTTTCAGGATCACATAATATATAAATTTCATGACAAAATAAATTAATAATAATTTAATTACTAAAACTTGTCTTTTGGGGTATACACATTTATGAATGTATCTTATGCCTAGTCAGAAGAGTATGAGGAGCAAAGTGTATCCATGATACAGACTTTGGATTGGGCCATACCAACATCAACAAAAGATCATAATGACTGGAGAGAAAAAGGAAGAATTGTCATTTGTTTGAGACAAAGAAAAGCATAATTCCTAATAAAATTTGGAGCAATTTTGTGATAGTGCAAACAAACTGCACAGTGGTACCTCATTGGTAGAACATCATTCAAAGCATTAATGACACAGTATGATAAATTATTTTACAGGCATGAGACTTCAGATCTACAGAATTTTTGATGCATTTGCTGTCTACAGAATTTTGATGGATTTAATGATAAGCTTGATGAAAATTCTATCAAGTGTATTTTCTTTGATACAGTAAAGATTAGCCAATCTATCATTTTTTTTTTTGGATATATTTGGCTTGGGCTAGGCACATGCTTTCGAAACCCGGCCTGGCCTGGCCTGGCCCGACCGGAAATTAATATTTTACATACACAATATTTTCCATATTTGTGTGTACATGGATCTAACCTCATAGGAAAATGGAAAATTAGTATAGAATGGTGTTGCAGGAGAAGAAAATGCTTCTCAGACACATGATCTGACAATTCTTTCATAGAATTCTTCTGCATAAGAATAGAATGTATATTTTACCACCACAGCATTGCTATCCTAATCTTCAGAACAGAGAATATGACATCTTTTACATTTGATATAGGGAAGAAAAGTATAGAAACCTGTACATAAACTATGCTACAAGGATGTCAATTGAAAGATACCAAGAAGTTTGACATTGACAAATCATACTCCATTAACGCTTGTTCTCCTTTGATGTTACTCTTGACTGATCACAGCATGTGCAAGGCAACAAACAAAACATCATAGGAATAGGATGTGCTCTACTCATAACTGCAATCTATATACCCACAATTCAACCTTCAGATCCATCATGTTCAATGATGCATATTTTCTGCCCTGAAGTGACAGCACTGCATGGTTTCATATGCAGTAGTTTTCAGTAATTATAAAGTTCTGATACAGATTTGAGACTTCACCTTCACATTCACAATGAAATGTCAAACAGTATAAGAAGCACAAATTGTGTCTCTGTGAAGTAACAACACCACTCTGGTTTTATATTCAGAAATGTTATATTATAATACAAATTGAGATCTCAAAAAAGTGAAGGATGGATCCAGTTGCATGAAAGGCATGTGAATCCAGACAGCACCAAAAGGGCAGGGAGACAGAAGTGCATGGCTAGGAAAATGATGGAAAACTGCTCTTCTTCTGCTTTAAGTGTATCATGATTTCAACCTACAATTCATACCATCATTAAGTAAGATGAAAAAAAGCAAAAGAAAAGATGGTAAAGTGAATGTTCTTTTACCTTTAAAATCCTTTAGGCACCAATGTTTTTTTTATTGTTAATAAATTCTAAAAAAATCTTTAAATTTTATTTTTTTCCACATAGATTCTTTTTTAATTTATTCCCGTAAAATATCCTTTATTTTCTAAAAAAGAAAATTACCCCTAGCCTTCGTTCTGCTAGTCGTTTTCATCCCATCACCTCTGTCATTCATTCGTCACTATTATCGTATCCCCGTTTGTCATCTTTGTATACTATAAGATCCCACGGCCTTCGTCTCATCGCCACCACCCTTATCCTCGTCCTAAAATAATCCTAATATATTTAGAATCATAATAAGTCTTTAAAGGTATTTTAGTAAATGAATAACTTATAGTTACCAAAAATTAATTGTGATGATATATATAAGATTTCAGATTATGAAGGTATATATATATATCCCCACAGACAAGTACATGATATTACTATTCACCTTATTTGTTGACATTATGATTCAGCTTATGGCTTTCCTTGGAAGCAAGGCTAATGATCAACAGAAGAGACAATTTACTACCACCCACCAACCAAAAAGCAAATCATTCAGGTGATCTATCAAAGTCATGATCAAATAAATTATAAGGTTAGTGCTCCTTATTTAAGGACAAAATGTAAAAAATAATCAGTAAGTTGCAAGTGTTGCTTCGCTTTTGCTTTATTAAACTTGAGTAAAAGTTATTACTTGTGTTGTGTCTTTTACATTTTGTTATTCTTTTATGCAACCAAAAAGCTTGATTAACTTTTTATTTAGGTGAGGATAGTGCCCCTCCTGAGTGAAAAGAAAAAAAATTAATCTATTTACTAAGATGAATGATTGATTAAAAATCCTTTATTTTAACTAATTTTTTACTTTAGTAAAATCTCATGAAAACCTAATTTATGGCACTTGGAAAAAGTGTGCATAAGTGTAACCAAATATAGTAGAGCCATGAACATTTAGTACATATTATTATCTCAGTGTATAGAAGATCGGGAAATTAAAATATAAAAAATAAATAAGGTCAAATTTTGTTCGCCTATTCAATATACTAAATCCGATTCGACTTAGTAATTTTTTTAAATAATCTTCCCTTAAGCTTCAAGGATATTTGCCGATATGATTTCCTTTATAACGACTTCACCTAAGGTAATTTTATCCGAAACGATGAAATCATATAAAATTAATGGTATGGATGCTCTCTACAAAATCTATTCGACGGTAGAATTGGTAAGGGACATAAATACTTAATCTAGAGATAAAGATTTTTTTTTACTATTAAGTAAAATCTATCATTTTCGACTTGTTAAGGGAGTATTAGCCAATAAAATTTGGTGCTGGAATGATTTGATTAGCAATATAATGTTTATATATCAAGACGATATAAAATAATCGTGGTTGGATGAGATGAATCAACGAAGAATACTTATGTCATGAGACAAACAAGAAGGTCAAAGAAAAGAGATTTGGTTTCTCTCGATTCAATCATAGATGTAATTCCGAAGACATTGTGACCTGTTGTCGTCGCATATAGTAAGCTAAAAATCATAGGGTTGGACAAATGCCAAAGTAGCCTCTGAGGACTTTTCCCCCACACCGCTGTGGTCATTTCCTTCAACAACATGATCTAAAGTACAAACGAAGCATACCACCGTGACCAACACCCAAAAGCTAGTGGAGAACGACCGCACATCTCACTCCGTTGGCACAACGCAACCCTCGTCGAAGTCGTCAATGCAAACAAGCCTACTGTACCGAAACACAATTGGAAGGTGGCCTAAACCCACCTCAAAGACTTGGACTCCGAGTGATGGCCTTTCAACATCAGCTGCCGTCGTCTTCTTTGGTCAATCAGTCTCACTTTGCTTGTTCCTATCCACTGTCTCTCTCTCTCTCTCTCGATCTTGTAATGAGATTTCCCATGTCATGAATGCTGTGTGAGGAGCTCATTCGTTCACCGACACTGCGCCATGGATAAATAACCATATCAATTCGCAGGTTGGCGAGCCGGAAATATCTTTACAAGTAATATGGCTATTCTTATCGTCTACTTATCAGCTCGAAGCTTCTGTCCCGAGGAGTGAGAACATGGCCATGATGTTCTCATGTTTGGAGCATGTGGAGAAAGCCAAGCAGTGGGACATCCTGAGGCTTTAAGCATAAATGCTGACGAGCCTCCACATGTGCCATGGCATTTTGTAGTACCAAATAGAAGATTAATGGTTTATTATGAGCAATAGAGAAATTAAGTATGATCTTTTATCCTTAGAGATGTCTTTTTGGATTCATCCTTTATCAGTTCTCAAGTCTTAGGATCAATATCTTAGGACTTTATACTGATAAACATGTTTAGTCTTATATCGACTGAATGAGATATATTCTACTGATTGTTTGCAGTGATTAGCATGTCGTCCTCGAAGCTCTCGATAGAGCATCGCCAGCTAACAGCTTCCATTGAGAAAGGCCTGCCTTTTTTGCTGTCAGCCAAAGAAAATAATGGAGTTAGCCATCGGAATCTCCAGCTTCCATTTCTTGGATCATATTCTTAGATCTTGTTTACCTGCACAGCATCTGTGTAGCCCCCTCCCTTAAGCATCAGCAACCAAAGAGTAACACAATGAAGCTAAAGCTCTTAGAGAACAAGTATTTTATATCTTGCGTTTATTATATACACCCCCCATCTTCTTTCCTTTCGAAACATATGAGATCCAAAATTTCATTGCATCTTTACTGTGGCTTCCTCTTACTCCTTACGTACTCTACAGTTGGTAAAAGAGCCTTTAGAGTGAAAGAACAGGAAGAATAGAGTCAAAGTGAGGTGGAAGAGGCCGGTCATGGCGGATTTGGATTGGATCAGGAGTCGTTGATGGTGAAGGAGGCGCGGAGGAGGAGGTCATATGGCGCCCAGAGGGCGTCTAGCGGGCACGGCCGTCCTGCGTCCAGGCGCGCCCATGGCTTGCCCTTACCGCTCCAATGCAGCAGGCTCACCGGCCCCGGATGGAGGTTGCGGCACAGACCGCGGTAGTTGTCGCCGCCAAGGCCGTGCTGGTTCCACCGGTGCTCCACCGCTGCGATCCGACCGGCGAAGACCAGCAGGAACGGCGGGAGCGAGCCAAGCTCGTAGATCCGCATCCGCTTCTGGAGCTCCATCCATTCCTCGATCTTCTCCGTGTACCCGCCGTCCCGCCACCGGCCTAGCTCCATTACCATGACGCCGGTGTTGAAGTAGCAGGCGCGCCGGCCCTCGAAGGCCACGGAGAGCGCCGGATTGGCCCAGAAGGTGGGGGTGAAATAGGAGGTGAAGTTGGCGTTGCAGTACTCCGGGGCGGCGAGGGCGAGGCCGTCGGGGATCGGGGTGGAGGCTAAGCCGGCGATGTCGTCGACGAGAACGAGGTCGGAGTCGAGGTAGACGACCCGGCGGGCGCACTCCGGGAGGAGGCGGGCGAGGTAGGAGCGCGCATAGTTGAGGGGCCGGTCGAGCGCCGCTCGGATGGAGGTGGAGATGAGCCCTGCAACTCGCTGCTCGTCGGCGAAGGGGTAGATCTGGAAGGCGAGGGAGGGGAAGGCGTCGGCGATGGTGGCGTCGAGGTAGCCTGCGGCAGAGGAGGCCACGAAGTGAAAGAAGACCGACTGTGGGCAGGCGGTGTGCTGGAGGACGGAGAGGATTGCGGCCATGGACCCGCGGAGGTAGGCCACGTCGAGGGTCATGGCGACGTGAACCAGCGTGTTGGGAGAGCAGGCAGCGCCGGGCCCGGTCGGCAGGGGCGGCGGGCACGACGGGGAGTTGTAGAACTGCGGTGCCTCGCGGAACCTCGGCATGCTCGAGGCGGCGCCATCTCTCCCTTTAGCTGCCGCTGCGGCAGCGGAGGAAGGCGACGATAAGATAGCGAGCAGCAGAAGAAGGCTCGAAACGAGCGGTAATGGAGGCATTTGGAGATCGTATGGAAGGGGTTGGCGCACTCAACCCGTCGAGCGGAGCAGAGGCGACGTTTATAGAGAGGGAGAGCGAGCTGATGGGAAGTCAAACGGCCGGTAAAACTCAACGCTATTACTCACGCTTCGTGGGAAGGGGGGGATCGCGATGGAACCGACGGTTCTGATTAATCGATAAAATACTCGATTTCGCCCACTAACACTCTTTTTCTATTCTGTAATATGCCAAAGAGCGAATGCGCGTGGGGCCCGTCCTTTCCCCCAATGGCGAGGTAGGTAGCTTGCGCCGCGTGAAGAAAGCCTGATTCCCTCCCTTACATATCGAGTACGATAACCCTTTCCAATGTGCCGGACCAACAACGCGGAATGGGACCGGCAGGTTGACGGAGGCATGAAATGACCGTCTTGCCCTCTTACAACGCGTTAGGGTGTGTGTACTGCGCCGTACGCGGTGGGAGGGCACGGCGGTCAAATGGGACCCGAACGAGAACATGCCACGTGATGGAATGACTTCCATGATGATGAAGAGCGATACAACTACACCGTCCATTTTCTTCCTTCAATTCCTCCTCAGATTTATATATATATATATATATATATATATATTGGAAGCAGTCTCTCTCTCTCTCTCTCTCTCAGCGACTACCAAGAAGGAGGTTGCTACATCTCCATCATCAAATGAAGCCAGAAAGAGCCACCTTTGCTTGTAATTAATCTTTTCGGTGTAGGCTTGTATGTAATGTCTAACACAAATTTTAAGCTAAGACTTGCATGTCGTGCAGTTGGGAGATCATCTTCGCAAATGTGACATAGTTCTTTGCCTTTGGGGTGCTGCTGTTCATGTGTCAGAAACATGTTAGGTGTGGATGAGTTGCTTTGCTTGGGAGAAACCTCAGCCAATATTCTCTCTCTCTCTCTCTCTCTAATGCTGGCATCCTTGAGGTTGTCTGCATGGAGTTCACTACAATGAGGGTTTTGGCTGTTGATTACCTGAGTGAATGCATGCAGACTAACTTGAGAACTTCTTACGTCTTCAGTACAATGTTATCCATCCTCCTCTAACATTACCGAGGAGATCAGCATCGAAGACTCGCTTGCCTTCCTGCAGTAGTACTCCATCTTCTTCTCACCATCTTAAATTCTTGTCCAGAGGATGCAGGGTTTTAGTGTGACTCGACTGCATCTGTGTCTCCTCCGTAACTTGTTATCTTTCTCATCCCCATAACTTCATGTCTAGTTTAGTTCAAGGAGAAAGAACACCTAACTAGAAAAGCATGGCGTATTCCATAGGGTGACCCTTAAATTGTGAAGGCTTGATCCTATTAAAGTCATTATTATTATTATTATTATGAATTTATATCGTGCATATGTTTTATGCGTGATTGTATCCATTTTGATGGCTCTGTTATAGCGCCTGTAGACATCCCTTGTGATCCAACACCGGCTATAATAAAGGCAACAGTGCCCTGTCTCTTAGATTTTGAAGAGGTCATTTTCGAGAGGTTGCAGGCATTGAATGGATACCGGACATCCATGGTTTATCATGGACTTATTATTATTATTATTATTATTTAGGAAACACTTTATCATGTGGTGATCAATTTAATCCTAACTCCAAACCAAACACTATCTTATGAAGTATTGTCTTGTTTGTGATGGTTCGACCTTTTAGAGATACAACATCTTGTCATGGAACAATGAACTTATAGGGTTTCTATGATACAAGATTTGAGAAGAATCGATGTGTAACATTACGTTCATGAAATTATATAGGTAATTATTTATATTAATAGTTGTCGGTGGGTGTTTTGAATGGTCTAATGGATGATAGCGGATGAATACCAATTCGTACGGCATTGGGACCTGTACTTATGCTTCAAGTACATGAGAAGGAGCGTGAGATCTAACCAGTTTCATGTGGATCACGTGGCACAAAGCCAGTGGTCGCCGACGCCGGCGCGAGTCGAGTCAAAACCAGCCGTATGGAAATATAAAGCTCGAACGCATGGCACATGGTGGCCGCGCGGGTGATCTGCTACGCGAGCCGAATCAACGGGCACCGTACCGCGCGAGGCACTGGCTTCCACTTCGGACCCTCCCGAGACGCCACCGTATACCCGACCCACCGAAATTATCAATTATAGTTAATTATTTTAATATTTTCGGTTATTATATTTTAAAAAATTATGTTGACATTCCTATAATTTCGAAAGTTAAACATATAGATTCATCATAACGTTATCGATTTTACTAATAAAATATAAAAATAAAAAATAAAATTTAATATTCTAGTCAATGATAATGAATAGCATCGATAGTGTTAAATGATAACACCGTTGGAGGTCATGCGTGGCTATTGTGAAAGTAGAGAATAGTGACAAGAGGTGAGAACTGCTCTATGTCAGTTGTTGAACAGTCCTTTCATCATTCTATATTTGTGTCGACATTGATGTAGATGTTAAGCAACTCTCGCATCTTATCACTGAGAAGAAGTGTCACCATTTATCACCATCAATTAAAATATTAAAATTATTATTTTATTTTTATATTTTTATCGATAAAATTAATAGAATAAATATATTTAAATGTTTCACGTTTATAAAGAATTTTAATATTTTTTAAATATAAAATTTGAGATATTAAATGTAATTAATACATAATGTAATATATAATTAACCCGCATGAAAAATACCGGATAAGTATTGCTGACGCTAAGGGCGTGTACGGACGTGATCCAAAGGTCAGCGCCCGCCATGTGAAACTTTGACTAACGCGGGCACATCACTGCATCAGGACCGACAACAAAAATAAATATTTTGACCGCAATAAAAATAAAAGAGAACTCCTTTAAACTCGCATCCTAAAAAAAAATCATTACCCGGCTTAGGAGACATTAATAATACGAATCCATAAAAGGCCATTACAATTTTAGCAGAAAATGACACAGCTTGGGACAGACAAAGAACAACAAAAGTCAACTCCAGAAATGAATTTAAATATCTCCGAATCATCTCAGATATAATTTTCTAATGTCCAATCTGTAGCCCAGAATTCATTAGAGGTGATGAGGTATTAATAAGCTGATAAAAGAAGTGAAAAGGTTCGTAGGTAAGCCAATTACATTAGAGTTCCTGCTACAATGCTCGATGTAAGCAGGAGAAAACAAGTAGCTTTCGTTCACTAGGAAATTTCTGCTGTCTTTCCACGTTACGAAGACTCCAATGTGTGAAACCTTTGTGGATCCAAGGAATAATGTACAGCCGTCAAAGCGGAAATTGACTCTCAATACTTTTTTATCAACAGAGTACGCAGAAAGGACTGGAGATGGGTCTTTTCTTCAAGCAGCAGACCCTCGGAAGACCAATGGAAGAACACGACAGGTTTGCCAACTCTCTGCTCATATCCGGGATGTGGGTCTCCATAGAGGTACATCGATGCCTCTTGCTAGGGATTGGCTTGTAGGTCTTGATGGGCAGTCACCGAACACAGTTCAGCACTACTTTAATGAACATCTCTGAAGTGTGTCACAGACAGAGAGAGGGGGTTAAATAAGTAAGAACAAGAAAAAAAAAACCACAAAATTGCAAACTTACAGCTACTGGTGTTCATGAGTTCAATTTTCTCTCTATGGTGCAGTAAATCTATGGCACATCTTGCATGGATCTGGTGGACCACTAGTACAGGAGAGGATCAATGATCATGTGGTGATATTAATGCTGCTGACATATATTTTCTTTACTTATTTATGGCAGAGGGAAGTGCAGTAGTACTGCAACATAAGTTTTCTGCAGTTATTGTGGCAGAATGCAGTAAATGGCTCCAATTGTTTGAATCTCTACCTCTTGAGTTCAAACTTGGCAACTGCACATGGAGACACAAGACATGGTGAGCTATAGAAAAACCTGATGAGGGTGTGAAGGAAACACCCAGGAAACTATTGATTTCTCCTCACATACCTTTTTAGGTGTCAGAAACCAGGGGTAAGTAGTAGAGGTCATCATCCACATAACAAGAGGCCCCACCTGGATGTCACACTGGGTTGCATTCATGCCTCCTGCAGAGGGAGTAACTGGAAGACATGAGACAATACTGTGAGGAAATTTACCAGAACTTTAGGGTTTGCTGAAAAGCAGAAGTCACTAGAGGGCCACCAGTCAGGACTTTCACAGTTTGTAAGAGAAATGAAAGACATTACTGCATATATCAACCAAACAAAGACAAATATAATTGACAATTATAAACAAGGTTTATAATTAGGCAATCAATTTAAAAAGTAAAAGGAATAAAAAAAAGGATGGTTTGAAATAGTGAATCCTATTCTATGGGTCATGAAACATGTTAAACCATTTAAAAGTACATGGCATAACAATAGAATAAACTGCAAGATATGAAGTGTGAAAAGCAAGTTAGATGGTAAGAGTATGTGCTGACCTAATTAAAGAATAAATTTTTTAGAACTAGAGTAGATGGTAAATGATGACATATTATGATTTCTACAACAGCTGCAGGTATGGATGCAGAGATAATTAAAGAAAAGTAAAATTCAACCACAGCAATTTGTGTTCTTGTCACTAAGGCATATTATGATTATTCAAATTAAAATGATAAAATGGTTTCACTTAATTTATCAAAAGTTCTTACTCTGTGCTTTTGGATACTATTCCAACAAAATTTCTTTTCCTTTATGATAAATAGATTGCAGATGCAAGTCAATTATTTATTATTTATCAAAATTATTAACTAATGGTTTTAATATTACAAGGTTCAAGGTCAAGCATTGGCGTATACAAGCATGCCACATCATCTCTCTCTCTCTCTCTCACTCAGCATATGGCTCAGGATACTTGAACATTGTTTTATGTTTCTTAATTAACATTTTATATAATCATTTTCTAATGATTTTGAAGACAAAGATTTAAGTGTTTTATTTGCACTTGATGTGATCATTTGCCAATGATTTTAGTTCAAAGGATAGTAGGGTACCACAACACAACAATAACAACAACAAAATCGGAAGTCTCAACCATTTAAAATCAACTACATGAATC